AGTGCTAGGAAGAGGCAGAAGGATTAAAGATATTTAATACTGGGGATCCGCAGGCCCCAGCCTCTCTGGTTGGGCACTGGCCACAGCCGCAGCTCGGCCTTGCCCTGGGCGCCCCTTCGGGACCCTTCCTGCAGCCGGCAGTCTCCCCTCTTTGCTTCCCATTGTCTCCCCGCTCGCCCAGATCCTGCGTCACTGCTGCCTGACATGGGGAGAGTCTAGGGGTGGGGGACAGCTCCCAGGGTTCTGCTGGCCTTGCCTTGTAGGTCCGGACTGGGTCATTCCCTGGCACCCCACCGACCAGAGAAGTCGGGGCCCCAGGCTGACTCTTGGACCCCACCTTGTTCTCCAGTTGAGAACACAGGCTCAGAGCAGGCAGGGGGGAGACGGGGCCGGCACCGAGGTATCTGGGTCTGCCTGTGGGCCCGCTCGGGAGGCCAAGCCAGGTCTTGCCACGAGAAAGGCCAGCCCCGGTGTGGCACCTCCCGCTGGACCAGCCAGTGGTGTGGCCAAAGGGCTTCGGGGAAGGCTGGGTGCAGGCAGGAAGGGCCCGTGCTGCGTGGGGCCTGTGCTGCCCCTCTGCCCCTCTGCAGGGTGCCTGCTTCCTGGGACTCTGCTGGTCTCAGCAGTTCCACCCATGAAGTGGGGCAGCCAGGAGGTTCCAGGGGGCCAAGTGGCCCCGGACGTGGTGGGCGCTAGTGTTGGCATTAGGTGAAAAGTCAGTTTGTGGGGAGCACCCGCATCAGCACCTGCCTTCCCTGGTCCAGTTTCTGGAATATCAGCAGGAAGAGGGCAAGGAGCATTCTACCCCGCGAAATCCCCCCAAGTGACCAAGGGACTTACTTCACAGTGGCTGACCTTTTTTGTCCTTTTTGGAAGTGACATCATACTCATCCACATATCTCATGCACGGATGGGTCAAAGGCGAAAGTCTATACTTCACTCAGAGCAAACCCCGGGCCAGCTGATGCCAGGTTCGGAGCAGCCGGACCCCTGGTGACCAACGGCCCAGTTCCCCTGAGCTCCGGGCTGGGTGTGGCGACCCCTCCCACGCTCCCAGGATTGGCCCGGGGGTGACAGGAGCTCGGATGAGCAGGCCTGGCGCTCTGCAGAGTGGGAGCAAGATCGAAGACTTTGCAGGGCTGGGATTTGATGGAAACCACCAGAGAAGGGCAGAAAAGGGGAAAGGCCCCATCTGAGCAGAGCGCAAAGATTGGGAAGGAAAGTTCTTAGGGAACCTGCCAAACAGTGTCTGTGATCACTGGCAGTGGATTATTTTGTTCTTTTAAAAAGAACGCTAAGAAAGCGGAGAAGCAGACCAGGACGATCGACAGGGTACTCTCTAGCTTTAAGAACACAACTTAAGTGTTTTTTAAAATCACGTTATCTAAAAAATCTTGTCAAGAATCTTTAGCCACACCTTTAGCTCTGGTCGGCCGACGGCACTGTGCCCCTTGGACAGATGCCTTTTGCTCCCTGCCACAGACCTGGTGGTCGGGCAGGTGCTGGTCCTGGCACAGACACCTGCTCCCTCCGGGGCTGGGAGCCTCAGGCTCTTCATCTGCGAGAGCAGGAGCGGGAAGACTTTTTGTCACCCTTCTGCACTCGCTGTTTCTTTCCTTTCCTTCCTGCTCCCCCTTTTCGTATTCTCAAAACACTTTGGTTTCTTTGCGTAACACGTTACCTCGGGCAAACTGTGTGTTCATGGCCGCTGTCACTGTGGGACACCCAGGAGCCCAGCTCCGTGCAGGGCAGCACAGAGGTTTCAAAAGCAGCCCCAGTCCATCCCCAGCGCAGCCCCTCCTGGTGTCCTGGGGAGATGGGCAGAAGGGCAAGGTGTTTGGAGGACGGCCGCTGACAGGTGGACAAAGGCCCCCACCAGCCACTGCCACGGCGCTCGAGTTGGGAGGGCACAGTGGGCTCAGGGAGGAGGGCTGGCTGGGCCTGCAGGAGTCTGCACACTTCTGTCTGCAGCGGGGCTGTGGGGTGCATGTGCAGGGCCGACCGCACCTGACCGGGTGCTCAGTCTGCCGACTCTCCTGCCCGCTAGATGTGAGGCCCTGGCAGGCTCCTGTAATACTCCAAGCCTCAGTTTACTCATCTGTGAATTAGGCCCATCGGCCATGTGGGTCTCAACAAGTTGCTGAATTCGAGACTGAGCATTCAGAGTCGAGCACCCCTCATTGGCCTCTGCACAGCACAGGCGTGGAGCCCTGCCTGGGAGCCCACGTATTACCCCTGGGGCATGGGGTGTGGGGCTTCCCTAGCCTCCCTGCTGCAGCTTCTCGGGTCTTATGGCCCCAGGGTGGGCCGTGCAAGCGCTCAGAAAGCCCCAGCTCAGCAGAGCTGAGTGCACCTTGCACCTACGGGTGGGGGAGAGAGGCACTGCACAGGCTCTGGGCTTGGCCCTGCCCTCTGCACTCAGGCCTGGACATCCAGGGAGGAGGCTGAGACAGCCATGGGACCTAAGATTATGCTGGGCAAGGGCTGGGCACACCAGCTCCAGTGTGGGAAGGGCAAGGTGACTCATGAGGGCGCTGTCTCTGAGCGTCCCCAACCAATGTGCCTGACCAGGGGACAGTGGCCTGTGTGCCCGAGCCCATCCACACACCTTAGTGACAGGTGGCTTGACGTCATCAGTCTCAGCACTGGGCAGCACCTGCGTGGGGGACTGGACGTCACAGCAGCTGGCCCAGGGAGCACCTACTGGGCGCAGGTGTTGCTTGAGATTCCCCAGACTCACTCCTTGTGGCAACCTTGGGGAGCAGGGACTGTTATTTTCTCCCCACGTCACAGAGGAGGAAATAGAGAGAGAAGTGAAATCATTCAGTCCGTGGCAAGGCTGGGATTTAAACCCACAGGTCCCGCGGTCACCATGGTGCTGTGTTCCGGGACACCCGTGGGTGTGGTGCCTGTCCCTGTCAGGCCCTTCTGTTCTCTGCGGCTGTTGTCAAGTCCAGCAGCCAGCACAGGACCCAGGCTTGGCTGGGGGCCCTGAGCAAGTGCTCACCATCCCTGAGTCTTGGTCCCTTCAGCTCGCAATGGGGACCCTAAGTTCAGGTGAGCAGAGCAGTTCTGGGGATGAGGGGAAAGGTGTGAGAGGTGCTGAGTGCCCGCTTCCCTGCTGGCCCTCGGTGCACCATGGCTGCCCTTAGAGGAAGACGATCGGTTCCACAGAGTCCCACAGGGCTCCCAGTGTCTCCTGCAGGTCCCGCTTGGTCCTTCGTAGATGCCTTGCTGAGCCTTTCGGTCCCCTCTCGGCCACCCGCCTCCCAGCAGAGTCATGACCGGAAAGGGCAGGCTCTATGTCCGTGCTTCAAGGCTCCTCCCCTCCCTGCGGGATCGAGCCAGAAGACTTCTTCATTGTTCACCCAAGGCCGGGGAAGATGTGCCCCACTAGACACGGGTCTAGGTATCACCAGGGGCAGGTGCCTGGTGAACTGGCCTCTGGTCACTTTGGCTGGAGCTAGGGCTCTGTCACCAGAATGGACCTCCTAGCCAGGGAGGGATCTGCCCCTCAACAGGCCATGGGTTGGGGTTGGCCAGTTGTCTATGGAAGCCCAGGCTGGAGGGCTCCTTGTAGTACATTAAAACCAGCACCGTCCTGGGAAACAGGGAGAATGGGTCACCCTGGCAAGGTCGCCTTCTCTGTCCCTTAGCTCAGGAAGGCTGGAAGTCCCCTACCCCTGCTCTTCCCTCCGAGCCAGTCCAGCAGAGGGGATGAAGCCAGAGGAGGCAGGATGGCGGTGGACTCCCACGCAGGCTTAACGAGGGGGCTGAGGCCCCGCCCTGATGACAGGCCCTTTGAAGAGCTGGGGAGACTGTCTTCCCAGGGAAACAGGCGGTGGGAGTGAGTCTCTCCACAGCCGCCTGTCCAACGGGGCTCCCGTTTTATGAGGCCGGGAAATGTTCACGGGAAGCTAACTAACAGCTTAATGAGGGGTTCTGATAGAAAGTGGAATTAACTTTAATGAGGAGAAAGCACTTTGTAAGGCCCAACCAACGCCCACTGGGGCAGAGGTATAAATCCCGGCCGAGGGCTGTTTCTGGGCCAGGACGTCTGGTACCAGACATCCACCACTCACGTCTGGCGGCCGTGGCCATGGCTTCCAAATGCCTCAAGGCCAGCTTCTCCACGGGGTCCCTCAAGAGTCCTGGAGGGGCTGCAGGGGGCTCCACTCGCGTGGCCACCATGTACTCCAGCAGCTCCTGCAAGCTGCCCCGTGGGCCCCGCAGCTTCTCCGTGTGCCCCGCAGGTCTGGGCAGAAGCAGCTTCGGGGCTGCCAGCTGCCTCCCCGCTCCCTGCTTCCCCGCTGGGGGCTTTGCCGCCAGCTATGGTGTGGCCGGGGGCTGGTTTGGGGAGGGCGTCCTCACAGGCAGCGAGAAGGAGACCATGCAGTCCCTGAACGACCGGCTGGCCAGCTACCTGGAGAAGGTGCGGCAGCTGGAGCGGGAGAACTCGGAGCTGGAGGGCCGCATCCGTGAGTGGTGCGAGCAGCAGGTGCCCTACATGTGCCCGGACTACCAGGCCTACTTCCGCACCATCGAGGAGCTGCAGAAGAAGGTGAGGGGCCGGGGGCTGTGGCTGCGCCGCAGAGAACATGCAGGAGAATGCCGGAGCTTGGCTGCTCCACTGGCCCTGGGCACAACGACTAGAGCTGGAACTTCAGGATGCGCTCTAGGCAGCCGGCGGGCTGTGTGACCTGCGTACTGCTGACGCTTTCCGAGTTTTAAGTTCCCTTGTTGTCAAGCCCCAGTCCCTGAGAGTCACAGCTGCGTGTGGAGAGGGAACATTTAGGACCAGAGGGCTGCTGTCGGCATGACTGGAAGGCAGGAAGGGAGGAAGAAGCCTCATCGTACCAGGCCAGGCCTTCTGTCCGGCTCAGGGCTACAGGTCATAGATGGCTTTGTTAGGGGGACCTTGGAGGTCCACAGTCCGATCCTACAGCTGCCTAGGAGCCCCGTGGGAGTTCAGGGCCTGCAAGCACCTCCCTCCAGGGGCAGCACCTGCCAGCTCTGGGAGTACCCAGCAGCAGAAATGTCCTTACGTGTGTTGAAGTCACCTCTCTATGTCCCCAGACCCTGTGCAGCAAGGCAGAGAACGCCAGGCTGGTGGTGCAGATTGACAATGCCAAGCTGGCTGCGGACGACTTCAGGACCAAGTGAGTGCGTGGCTTACCTGGGCTGGGGCTGGCGGATCCCTGAGGCCGGCGCCCAGTGTGGAGGCCTGAAGGAGGACCCACGCCGGGCTGGTCTGGGGCAGGAGCCAAGTGCACAAGGAAATGCAGTTGCAGGTTCCCTGTTCTGCGCCTGCAGGTACGAGACAGAGCTGTCCCTGCGGCAGCTGGTGGAGTCGGACATCAATGGCCTTCGCAGGATCCTGGATGACCTGACCCTGTGCAAGGCCGACCTGGAGGCGCAGGTGGAGTCGCTGAAGGAGGAGCTGCTGTGCCTCAAGAAGAACCACGAGGAGGTGGGGACGGGCAGCAGGTGAGCATGGGAGGCAGCCACCTGGGAACTTAGTGCTGACCTTGGCCTGTTCTGCAGGAAGTGAACTCCCTGCGCTGCCAGCTTGGCAACCGGCTCAATGTGGAGGTGGACGCAGCCCCACCTGTGGACCTGAACCGTGTTCTGGATGAGATGCGGTGCCAGTACGAGACCCTGGTGGAGAACAACCGCCGGGAGGCAGAGGACTGGTTCGACACCCAGGTAGGAACAGAGCACTGTCAGGTTGCACAGAGGTGATGGTGGTGCTAAGCCAGGAGACCGCAGTTCGAGTCACGCTGCTAGGACCTCAATGTGCCACCTCAGGCCAGATGCCGTCCTCTGTGCATCGAAGATGGCAGGACTGAGCTGGGCTGGGGACGGAGTCCTGGACTCCTGGTTCTAAACAGCTCTGCGGACCTTTGGGGCCTAGCCCCGTGGCTCCTGACCAAGTCCTGTGTGTGGGTTGCAGACCGAGGAGCTGAACCAGCAGGTGGTGTCGAGCTCGGAGCAGCTGCAGGGCTGCCAGGCGGAGATCATTGAGCTGCGGCGCACGGTCAACGCCCTGGAGATCGAGCTGCAGGCGCAGCAGAGCATGGTGAGCCCCACAGCCCACAGACCCCAGCTGCACGTCCTGACCGCAGGCAGGCACCGGGGTTCAGGGCTGGGGCTTTAGGGCTTCTCTGAACTAGGCAGGGATGAGGGCTGAGCCCAGTCTCATGTGCCAGTGGGAAAAGACCAGATGCCCAGAGCCACTGACACATGCCCGCTGTGGCTCCTGTCTTCGGGCTGTGGTCAGCTGCCCCGAGGTGCCACAAACAGGGGTCCCCTCAGGGGGCGGCTGCTACAGCATCGGGTTTGCAAATGAAACGCCTCACGGTGTTTGTCATTGTTCCAAGTGATTCTGAGTTCCTGTCCTCGGGTGCTGAGGCCTTCCTCAGAGCCAGAGGCTCCCCCTTGCTCCCTCCTGGTCTAACTTCTTCCTCCACGACCCTTGCCTTCTCAGAGAGATGCTCTGGAGTCCACCCTGGTGGAGACTGAGGCCCGCTACGGCTCGCAGCTGGCCCAGATGCAGGGCCTGATTGGCAGCGTGGAGTCGCAGCTGGCGGAGATCCGGGCTGACCTGGAGCGGCAGAACCAGGAATACCAGGTGCTGCTGGACGTGCGGGCGCGGCTGGAGTGTGAGATCAACACGTACCGGGGCCTGCTGGACAGCGAGGACTGCAAGTGAGTGCAGCTGCAGGGTCACTGCTGCCTCCCAAGTCCTGGGGAGTCAGCGTGGGCCGGGAGGCGCTCGAAACCTGGTCAGTGTCATCCCGGGACTCCAGCCGGCCCCTTCCTCTATGGGTCTCTGTGTCCTCTGTGGGGGAGAGGAAAGGGGCGGGATTAGGTGACTCGAAGGTGCCTCCCAGTCTGCACATTCTGGGATCTGCTTGGGGACACAGCACAGCAAGTGCAAGTCACAGTAACCTGTCTCCTTCACTCTCCTAGGCTCCCCGGCAACCCATGTGCCCCTGACCATGCACCCTCCAAGTCCTGCCTGCCTTGTCTGCCTCCCTCCTCCTGCAGTCCTGGCACCGCCCGCACCACCTGCAGCCCCCGCCCTGTTTGTGTGCCCTGCCCCGGCGGCCGCTTCTGAGCATGGCTGACCTGGAAGGCCCAGGCCCCTGTGTCCAGGGTTGGACCTGGATTCTACTCACCCCGACTCACAGCCCTTATCTCCTTTCTCCGTCCGGAGCCCGGGTCCAGCCCCGGGAGAGCTTGCTGCAGAGCTGCACCTCAGTTTCTCAGAGCTGGGCATGAAGGCCGCTGCCCTGATGGCCGTGACTCCCAGCATGGCAGAGGCACAGGGTCTCTGCCCTCTGCTAGCTCCCGGGTCAGCTTGGCTTCCTGTGTGTTTGGGAGACTGATGTGTGGCACAGGCTCCCATTGGTGGAACAATAAAGTGCATTTGCTCTGGGTCATGTGGTTCCTGGCTGGGCTCAGTGGGTGACTTGGCTGATTAAGTGCGATCCTGGGGACAACAGTCACCGTGTCCCTGATCGGGGTGGGCAGAGGCCGACAGTGAGGAAGAGCTCTCTCCAGGGTTTGGACCCCGTGTGGACTGCGATGTAGGGTCTGCACTTAGGGCACTTTCCGGGGTGCGGTCATATCACCCCTCTTTCCTTGCCACCCGGTCACGAATCCCTTCCAACTTTCTGTCACATGCAAGAGACAGTGTGCCTGCCCTCGGGACTTGCCCCTAGAACCCGAGGGTCCTTGCGCTGGGGACCTGCTGTGTTTCTAAGGGACACAGCATTCGGCGAGTACCCGATGAGTGGGCTCTGCTCGTGTCCAGACAGCCTCTCCTAACAGACAGGGCCGATTCCAAGTCCTGCTGGGGGTTCAAGGGCGGACTGAGGGCTGCCCGTCCCTAGAGGGCTGTGTGTGTTTCAGTGATGGCAAGGATGCTTGGGAAGGGGCCTCGGTGACATCAGGGGGCCGTGACAGCACCGGGCTGCATAACAGAGTGGGAAAGGGGCTGCCCCGCGCAGCCGAGCCCCGCCCCGTGGGCGTCTGGCCGGTTTCCCTGAGCTCACTGCGGCCCAGCTCCCTGCAGCCTGTACTGTCCCAGCTGTCTTCTCCGTGGCTTTCCTGGGGCTCAGGCTCCTAGAGGGAGTCGGCGATCTAGGGCCATTGTCCCCCGAACCTTGGTGGGCTCCGGCAGGGGCAGGCAGGTGGCAGGGCTGACCTGCGTGGGAGGGACAGGAAGGAAGTGCGCGTGCTGCAGTTTTCCCGTCCCACCTTGGAGGTGCAGGGTCAGGGCCTCAGTGTGGGGAAGGGGCTGACCCCAACGCTGGCTTAGTGTGCTGCCTCCACCCTCACCCCTTTCCCGCTGGGGTGCATGGGACCTGGAACTTGCCTTGTCCGTTGGAAAGTATGCTCTGAACGCAGCAGACTCAGGCTGCGGTGGGTGCTGGGAGCCCTCATGTTTGCTCTCTGCCTCGCCCACCATCATTGGGCGCCGAAGTCTCCCAAGGGCAAGAGCCTCCTGTGTTTGGGGGCTGGCCATGGAATCAGACTGGGTTTGAGTCCCAGGCCCAGCTCCAAGTGGGCACAGGAGCACCAGCAGGCCACCATCCCTTTCTGTGCCTCCAGTTCCTCCCGAGCAAGGTAGAGACCGTGACACATGTGGTCCTGTAACGTCCCCAGTCCCTGGCTGAGGGCCACGGGCACCTGAAGACTGGTCCGCGCCAATCCTTTCGGCTGGGTGCCTGGTCCGCAGCTACACTTTCCACGTCTGGAATTTCACTTCTGTGGTTTCCGTCCAGGCAGCAACAGTACCCAAGATAAAGCAGGCCAGCTAGAGTGGACAGGCAGTGAGTGGGTGTGGTATGGAGTCCCAGCTCTGGCCGGTTGTGGGGGACACCATGGTCGGCAGGACACGATGCCCCCATGGCTCACAGCCCTGTGAGGTCAGTTTTCTGTAAGTCACACACTTCCTGATGGCACAAGCCCCTCCCAGACCCATCTCAGCTTCCTTCCTGATGGAAATAAGAGCTGCAGCGTCACTGTGACCTCTCAGGCTTGTGCTTTGCCACTGTGACCTGGTTTCCAGGCAGCCAGGGGTTCTTGGCCTTGCCTGCCCAGTGCGACCCTCCGCGGAGAGCTTCAGAAATGACTGATGCCTGCTCGGACCGCCAGCCGCGCTGCTTCAGTGGGTTGTGCTGGGATGTGGGACAGCTGGGTTTGGCCACATACCTGGGAGTGCAGGAGGGCTCAGGGCGCCTTTGATCACGTGCACAGATCTGACCACACCTGCCTTTTCACCCCTTTGATTTCAAGTGTTTGAACCGCATGCTAAATTTCAGTTATATTTTTATTTCCAAAGAAAGGTTTTTGTTCTTGGTTTGTTCCTCTTTTCTAACATGCAATTCTTTTTTTTTTTTTGTTTTTTGGTACCGGGGATCAAACGCAGGACCTTGTGCTTGCAAGGCAGGCCCAGGGCCACTGATCTAAATCACCAGCCTGATTCTTCTTTCAGGGAAGTAACTCCACACTCCTCTCCAAGGTCATTTTGTACTTATATACACATAGACGCATGCATGTACGTGATTCTGTTTTGTTCCTGTTTTCCCTAATTCCCCTCTTTACTGTTATATTCATTTATTTGTTTTGTCTCCATTTTTAAGACTGGAAGCTTCTTTCAAAGAAGAAACCAAAGTGAGGGATTTTGTAATTAAATCCTTTCAGTCATCATGAAGACACTGATGCCCAGAGAATCAGAGTGTCTTTCCACCCCAGAGAGGCGAAGTGACTTTCCCAAGGTCAAGGGGCAAGTTAGAAGGCATCAAATGTCTCTATTCTGACTTTTCTAGGCAATGAAAGGTCTGCACGGTGTTTTTCCTTACCCGCTCCACCCGGCTGGATTTCAGCTGGGACTGCGCATGTCCGGTTCCCTGGCTTAGCTCTGCCCGGGCTGCAGGGCGTCTCCTCAAGGAGCTGATGCGCCCTGCTTCTGTTCTCTGGGGCTCCAGCGTGAGCCTCCTGTCCACCAGTGCAGGAGGGAAAAGCAGTCAGCTCCAGCCTGCTCCTGGACCACAGGCCTTTGTCCTCCACAGCCCTGGGCGTCCCTGAGTAGGTGCTGTGCCTGTCCCCAGGAGGCGTGCATGACACTGACCTGCTTTCCCAGGGGAGCGGCTACCCAACCGACAAGACGACCCGATTCCTAGGCTCTCTGTCTGTGTCTCGGTCTCTACTAAAGTTTTATTAGTGCATGTGTGCTGTGCACGATGCGTGGATTCATTATGAGGAGCTGGTGCATGTACACAACATGTCGTCTTTCTTTTTACGTCCCCTCCTGTTCCCTCCTACCACCTCTTGGTCGTCTTCCCATTTGAAAAAGGTCTCTCTCCCTGTTTCCTGTCGTCTGTCTTTCATTTTGTTCTTTATGTATGCTGTGGGCTTCTCGTGTAAGAAACCACCTACTACCGAGTCTCATGTGTCTGATCTGTCTCTTCTCCCACTTGGTGGCAGATGACAGTTTGGAGGCCTGGGGGGGTCTTTTCCCTGTCTTCCCAGACAGATGCCACCGTTGGTCATCCACAGACTTCTTGTTAAAGGTCGGGCCTCCTCCCACAGGGTCTACCTCTCTGCTGATGGGCTGCCCTCCCCGGGGCAGGGGCGGGTTGGCACAGAGGACAGGGCAGACACACCCCAGTAATGAGGGCCCTGACACAGAGGTGACCTTTTGAAGATGTGTCTGGAAGCTCTCACCTGGTGATCAATGACAGGAGCCCCGAGTCCTGCTTGAGCCAAATGACAAGTTTGGTCTCTTTTATGAGGAGAGGGACTTCTCATTGGAAACCAATTACAAATTAATGAGCAGCTTGCTCGGGCTGAGTGTAAACATCAGGGCCCCCCCAGGATGACTTTCTAGCACGAGTTCCCTGATTCCACGGGTATAAAAAGGCCCAGGCGGGATGTGGCCGCAGATGTCCTGGTAGTGGTGTCGCAGGAGAAAGTGCCCAGCTTCACATCTAAACCTTTGCTGATCTCTGCTGGGAGCTTCCCTGTCCAGTGGAAGCCGCTGACCCGAGCTGTGGGTGGTCTTCCTCTGCTGGCCTACTGCCTGCCGCCCGCCACCTGTCTCTCCCAGGGCCACCTGTCCGGCTCCTGGTCCGGCAGCCCGCAGCACCTCTGGCTCCATGGGCTCCTATACGCGGCACTATGAGGTTTCCTATCCACAAAACGATCGGGAAACCCTGCAGTTCCTGAACGACCGCCTGGCCAGCTACCTGGACAGGGTGCGGCAGCTGGAGCGGGAAAACGAGGAGGTGGAGCGGCGCCTCCAGGAGGCCAACCAGCAGCCACAAGCAGGGAAGAGCAATGGTTACCAGTCCTACTTCCGTGTCATCGAGGAGCTGCAGCAGAAGGTGCGGGCCAGCAGCAGACCCTGTTGGCGGGAGCTGGCCTTCCGGATCTGAGCCTCACCGATTCCGTGAGCCAGCCCCAGGGCTTGAGCACTGCAGATCGCCCAGTCCAGGAGTCCCTTCAGCTCTCCAGGCCTCAGTTTCCACGTGTATAGAAGGGGGTAGCAATGGTCCTTCTCCAACGGGGCTGTCGAGAGGACAGGGTCGATGCAGGTCAGGAGCTGGGCTGTCCCTGGGTGCTTGACGAATCTGGCCCAGGCTGTCCAGGGAGAGGCAGCTGTCTAAGTCTGCCCTGGAGCTCCAGGAAGAGGGCTGCCTCTGCGGCTCTCTTCACCTTTCCAGGTTTTTCCTCCTCCTCCTCTCCGGGACTAACTCCCTCCGTGGGTCTCGGCCTGCAGATTCTGTTAACCAAGGCAGACAACACCAGGATGCTGGTGCACATCGATAACGCCAAACTGGCTGCCGACGACTTCAGGACCAAGTGAGTGCGGGTGGGGGATGGGAGCCTGCGGGGCCTCTCCCCAGTCTCGGGCGGTCTCTCAGCTCCTCCGAGGAGCAGCGCTGGAAGGTGCCACGGCCCCGGGCCTCCCCGCTTCTGTATGCAGTTCCGGCCCTCGCAGGCTGACCCTGACCTTGTGCAGGTACCAGTCGGAGCTGTCCCTGCGGCAGGTGGTGGAGTGGGACATCCACGGCCTGCGCAGGATCCTGGATGACCTGACCCTGTGCAAGGCCGGCCTGGAGGCGCAGGTGGAGTCGCTGAAGGAGGAGCTGCTGTCCCTCAAGAAGAGCCACGAGGAGGTGAGCCCGGAAGTGAGGCTGGAAGATGGGGTCTGGGGTGGGAGAGTTGTGGGTGGCGGCTCCAGGCCTGCCACTTAACGTTTCTGGGACTTGGCCCAGTCCCCGTCAGTGCTCTGTGCCCCTCGTGGGCAGCACAGGGAGAGCGGGCAGAGCCTGGGTTCTTCTTTTCTGTCTCCACCCTTGCTCCCCCTTTGTGTCTGTCTCCCGAAGGCACAGGGCAGCACTTAGCGTTCTCCGTCCCGATCTCCCGCAGGTCCTGGGGTGTCCCACAGTCCCCTGGGGCCCTGGTGCCTGTTCCTCTTCCCCTGAGTTAATTCTCAGCCTCTTGCTTGGGATCTGAGTGAATGCGCATCTCTGCTCCTGGCTGGGTTCCTCGGGCTGAGCACAGAGCAGCGGCCCGTCAGCCGTGCTCCCTGGGTGCCCTTGGGCACGTGACTCACCCGCTTCCCCCGGAGAGCTGGGCACCACACCAAGGAGCCACTAATGAGGCAGCTGCACACACCTGCGGGAGGCCTCCAAGACAACTTTCTCTCGTGGGCACCTACGCCCGGGGAGTGGCCACTCTCACTAGGCCTTGAAGCCAGGGCTGGAAGCCTGCTGTGCCAGGCTCCTTCCCGATGAGCGTGCTGGGCGGTGGCAGAAGCCCACGTGGGCCACACCAACACTGCCACTGTCCTGGCTCCCACCCCAGTGACAGGAGGTGGTGTCTTGGGGTGTCCCCCGGGGCCCTGAGAGCCTCAGCATCCATGTGGCACTTCCACGTCTCCCTGGAGGTGAGCTGGCCGGGACTGGTGGTTTTCTTACTTGTCCGGGTCTTGTGGCTTCTCAGGAAGTGGCTCAGCTCCAAAGCCAGCTCGGGGACCGGCTGAACATCGAGGTGGCTGCTGCGCCCCCTGTGGACCTGACCCGCGTGCTGGAGGAGATGAGGCACCAGTATGAGGCTGTGGTGGAGACCAACCGTAGGGACGCGGAGCAGTGGTTCAGCACGCAGGTGGGCGCCTCTCCTCTCCTGGATCCTCGGGACCCCCAGAAGGGCCCCCAGCCATCTCTGTGCTTTCCCACAGATGGAGGAGCTGAACCAGCAGGTGGCCACCAGCTCGGCACAACTTCAGAACTACCAGGAGGACATTATCGACCTGAAGCGCTCAGCCAACATTCTGGAGATTGAGCTGCAGGCCCAGAACAGTCTGGTGAGCGCCTCCCTGCCTCTGGGTCTGGGGCAGCACCACACTCAGGGACAGGCTGTGGGGAGGCCAGGAGGCTGGGTCTCACCACCGTGGATGCCCCCGCTAATGTCCCTGGAGGGAGGGTTGTCCCAAGAGTCAGCTCAGAGACGAAAGGACCAGGGGACGGATTGTTCTGTGGGTCAGGGGGACCCTCTCCAACATGTTCTGCAAGCCGGGGGCTTCCCCACATAGTCTGCCCTTCCAAATCCCAGTTCAGCATCGCCCATAGGGACGGAAATAGTCCTGATGTCCAGGTTCTTCTCAGGAAAAGCTGAGCCAAATTCTCTGCAGATGGGACCTGGGTCTGGGATTTCTGTGACCCGCATGTACAGCCAGGGTTGAAAACCACCGTCTTAGGTGGTGTCTGCCCTAGGAGAGTTTCTCATCCAAAGCCTGAAGCCAGCCTGAGGTTGTAGAAGAGAGATGGGATTTAGGACCAGACCTGGGACTTGAGTTCAAATCCCGGTTCCATCACATATCAGGTGTCTAACCTTGAGTGAGTCGCTGTCTTTCCTCAGTTCCCAGGGAAGCTCAGTGACAAAGAGTGACTTAGGTAAGCAGGGATCATGCCCAACACACACACACACTCTCTCTCTCTCTTACACAGAGGCCACAGACTGTGGAAAGTAGTCACTCGCCACAGCTGGGTCTCTCCTTCGTCTTAGAGGGACTCCCTGGAGAACACGCTAAACGAGACCAAGGCCCGCTACGGCTCGCAGCTGGCCCAGATGCAGGGCCTGATCGGCAGCGTGGAGTCGCAGCTGGTGGAGATCCGGGCTGACCTGGAGCGGCAGAACCAGGAGTACCAGGTGCTGCTGGATGTGCGGGCGCGGCTGGAGTGCGAGATCAACACGTACCGGGGCCTGCTGGACAGCGAGGACTTCAAGTGAGTGGGTCTGGGGTGGCGCTGTGTGTGCGAGGGCTTGGGAGGTCACGGGAAGCAACTGGTCCACCCTCGGGGGACATCAGCTCGGACCCCTGTCCCGAGTGAGAAGCCACGGGAACGTTCCGCAAAGGCCGGGCGGTCAGCCTGAACCTGGCCACGGGAGACTGCTGTGGACGAACTCCTTCCGGCTGTGTGGAGGGCGGCAGGCACTGGTCACCGTCAAATCGTTTGTGTGCATTGTCGAGACAGGCAGAACCGGGGTTGATCTGGGGACTCTGAGAGGACCACGGGCAGCTTAACGTGGCTCTTTCCACAGAGAGACACAGGGGTCACACAGGCGGGAGGAGCCACCACCTTTTATTTTTATTGGCAAGTGAGAGGCCTTGCTTTTTTTTTTAAGGTAGGAAAGACCGCATCATTTCCTCAGCAAGTGGTAAACCCTAGAACGGAGAGACGACAGGGTATTTTGGGGCCCTGGCCTTGGCTGGCACACGGTGATGCCCAGGGAGCATTCCTCCTGCAAGGCAGTGAGCACTGACAGCCGTGTTTCAAGACGGTCACCCCGAGGGCAGCGAGGAGAACCGAGTTGGGGAACGCGGGGAGCCGGGCAGGACATGTGGCTGTCACGGTGCAGGGCACCGCTGGGCTGTGGACGCCAGGGGCTGTCTGGCTGTAGCCATTCCCTGGGCTATGTTTGCCCTGGCTTCTCTGCCCTTCTGAGTCCTGTTTTTTGGAGGTGCTGGGGATGGAACCCGGGGCCTCCTGGGAACAAGCTTCACCCCAGCGCCATCATCAGGAATCTTATCCTCCCAGGCAGGTGCGGCACAGTCAGACGTGCGGAGGGCCAGGCACCAGCTGTAGGCCTGCCTCAGTCACAGGTGCTGCAGACTCTGGGGCTGGCGCCTCATCCGAGGGGTTAAACAAGCCGGCAGTGTGAATTAAAAAAAAAAAAAAAAGCTAAATTATCCAGATTAAAACCTTTTTTCTTTTTGGTGCCAGAGAAATGAATCCATTTCAGGCTGCACGGGGGTTCTGGGATGCCCATTTGGCTTCTGAGTGACTCCATGCTGCTCCTGGGCTTGAGCCCAGCCTGCTGCGTTTCCTTCTGGGCTGGGTCCACCCCACAGCCTTCTGTCTTTTCCTCTTTTTCAACACATTCTTACTAAGCCCGGCCTGGGCCGGGGAGGCAGGGTGGGTGCATCCTGGGTGCGGCCTCAGGGCCTGAGGGGAGACAGCCACACCGAAGAGTTACCAGCCGCCCTGGGAGGGGGCTCTGGGGCCACTGTGCGGTTCGGAGGCGGTGGACGCTTCCGGGAGGGTGTGGTAGTTGGGTTGGACTCTTGGGGCCCAGAAGACGCGCAGCGGGGAGGGAAGAAAGGAGGGCGAGAGCCCGGGCGCGGGCAGCGCGGTCTTGGGAGGAGTGGCAGACGGTCCGGGGTGTCAGGACGGTGGGGTGGGGCCGATCAGACTGGCAACCAAAGGGGGCCATGCCGGAAGCCACGCTGGCGATGGTGCGGACGGGCGGAGTGGGGGAGGGACCCATATGCCACCACGAGGGAGGTCAGGACGAGGGGAGCCTGGGGTCAAGCGGGACAGCGGGCCGCGGGGGAGGCGTCCGGGGTAGGGTCCGCGA